CGAGGTGGGCGTGTGTCAGGAGGACAGTGAGGTGGGCGTGTGTCAGGAGGACAGTGAGGTGGGCGTGTGTCAGGAGGACAGTGAGGTAGCCCACATGGTGTGGCATGGCACCAAGGTGAGCCTTCTGTGTGTCAGGACGGCATTGAGGAGAGCCTGCATGTCTGGAGCGCACCAAGGTGTACCTGAACTTATAATGAATGATCTATTAACCGCCAATCATCTGTGGTGACCACCACACTCTGCTCCTGACTTATAGGACATGTTGAAGAACACCTCCAAAGGACATCCTGACCGGCTGCCCCTTCAGATGGCGCTAACAGAGCTCGAAACTTTAGCAGAGAAGTTAAATGAAAGAAAAAGAGATGCCGACCAACGCTGTGAGATCAAACAAATAGCAAAAGCCATAAATGAAAGATACCTGAACAAGGTTGACAGATTTGTTTCAGCCCTATATAGTAAAGTTATTTTTGCTTTGAACTAATCAGCCACTTACTACTGCTCATTTAGGTTAATGCACTTGGCCCAGAGTTTACCTGGGATGAAGGAGTTCAGGGTGGTGGCTGGGCTGCTGGGGAGTGACTGTTCATAGCCCTAGCAGGCTGGTGTTCTTTCTCAGGGAGAGCTAAATGGGATGACTCCATTCCTCAGATGGATGCATAAAGGCTCAGACCAACTCTTAGCTTGACTTTGTGTCCAGAATGCCACATGAAGTGTTTGGTTTGTACCTACCTGGGTGTGTGTAAGGTGTGTTTATCACAAAGAAGAGATGCAGAACAACAGGAAGAAATCAGTCCTTTGCCAAGCTGTTTCAATTTTGTATTAGCAAAAATGATTTTCCTACAGCAGCCTGCTGATGTGTGTTAGCTTACCATATTCCTGTAAGGCCTGGACCTGGGGGTGTTCCTCATTATGAGCATGTTAAATAATTGCATTCAATGTTCATTGTTGCTAAGGTCTCATGTACTTTTTCTCAGTAGAGATTTTTTTCCTACTTTATAATGACATCTAGTCATTAACTATGAGAACGTTGTGGCAATACATTTTCCAAATGATGTCTGTGGTTTGTGGCACTTAAAGCTGTTTCTCTCCGTGTTTGAAGGCTTGATAGCATGAGTGTGGAAAGTAAGCCAGGTGATGGGAGGAGGGATGCAGCATCTGGTTGTCACACAGATGTGTAGGCCAGGAAGGTACTGCCGAGGCTGGTGTCCAACTGCATGCCAGGGCAGGCAGACTGGAGATTTACCATCAGAAGGTCCGGGCCATCCAGGCCAAGGAAGCTGTTTCCTCATGGTACATTATTCTGAGCATAATGTGCCATATCGTTTTCTCAGCTGGCACAAAAGATTTTTCCAAGGATCTGGTGGTGTCCCTGTGATTTGGGAAACAGTGTGGCAGACATACATTTAGGTGCTGCTGATGTGCTTACTTGTGCTGGCTTTGGGAAAGTCAGTTGCGAAATAGTTCTCCAAGTGCACATGGCTGGCTCTAGTGAGTGAAGGAAGATGCATTCAGAGCAATAGAGCAACAAGAGGTGAGCAAGAGGGAGCATCCCTGCCCACCATGGTCTGCACTCTAGGAAAACCCCATCTAAAGAGATCTTAGATCCTTTCTTGCTTAGGGCAAATGCCAATGCTAATGTCTGTCAGGCATTGAATTTACAGTTTTGTTCTGAGCCTACATTACCTGTACATGAAATGTGAGCAGGAACATGTGGGTTCTCCTTAGTGAAAATAATCTATAAAATTTGATGCTGTAATTGATGTTTCTGTGAACTTCCCTCATCTCCAATTTGCATTTTTGGTGGTGGTTGTCGGTGTTTTTGATGTTTAGCTCCTCAGCAGTGGAAGTCGGTACCTCATTCGCTCCGATGATGTGATAGAAACAGTTTACAATGACCGTGGAGAAATTATCAAGACCAAAGAACGAAGGCTGTTCATGTTGAACGACGTACTGATGTGTGCCACCGTCAGCTCCCGGTAAGAACATGCCTGCATTCTGAGTCAGCCGAGGTGTCCTGTGTCTAAGGATGAGGAAGATTTTGTTGAGGTTTCCACTCAAGTTGAACTATCTGATGCTAAACTTAGTCTGTGACTAAGAGACCAAGGAAATTTATTTTTAAAAGACTCGGGTTGGGTTTGAGTCTCTGCTGATAGAAATTTGGTGCCTACAGGTGGACTTACTAAAAACCCAGGCTGGTATAATCCAGCTTCCCAAATCAATCTTGTCCTTTTTTTGTTTTTTAAGCTACTTCTTTATTTTTTTTAGGTAAGTGTTTTTCTTACATATTTAAATATATATATACATATATATATGTTCATATTTAGTGTAAACCAAGAAAACAGTCAATGCCCCATTGATTCTTTAACTTAAAATAATTTGACATCAGACTTGTTCTCCAACACCTAAAGACAGTAGCAACTGAGGATATCTGAGAGGGTAAAGTGTTCAAATATAGCTCATGTGTAAGGGATTAGGTTTAAAATTAAATGTAGTGTTCTTGCTGCTCACTGAAATAGTACAAGCTCAAGTGGGGCCAGCTTATAATGTTTGCAATTGTCAGTTGTTAGACTTCTCAGGAGTTTTGGAAGCTGCTTGCCTAAAATCTTAAGATGTTTTAAATGATTTCTGGGGGAGTGTTTATACCACGTAAGTTGGATGCAGGCCCTGTCTGGAGAGCAGACTGGGAAACATTCCCATTTACCACTGTCATGTGATCTGTCTTTTATGCCGCCCTTCTTGCCCTGACTGGTAGAATCTGAGCAAAGAAGAATCAACCTGCTGACACTTGGCAGTTCATACTATGGGGTTCAATTCTACAGTGTTGACTTACAGCTCCATTCTAGGTCCTCTCCTCACTAACCCCTAGGAATCTGATCTATAAGCCAAAAGGAAGAACAGTAGTTACAACGTAACTGTGATGATGATAAGACTGCTGGCACAGACCCCACAAGCACAGTGCCCTCACCTAACTGCCCTCAGTGGTCATAGTGCCTGCAAGCACAGCACCCACACCCGCTGCCCATGGTGGTCACACAGTGCCCTGCCATCTCTCCGCGGTGGTCAGCCCTTCTACTTCTCAGCATCTTCCCTTGCTTGTAACAGCTACAAAAGTCTGCAAAATGTACCTCTCAGTGGTCCTTCTCTATTTGAAAATGGCTCAGCTATTACCATAGTGGCCTTAGCAGCGGCCAGCCTCTGGGTACTGTGTGTTTTTACTCTTGTCTGAATGTGTAGAAAGAAGTCAGTGACTTTCTGGTTTGGGGAGGTGACTTTTGAATGCTTTTCTGTGCTCCATATTATAATGAAAGCACATATAACATATTTTTCCACTTAATTTCTATAGACCCAGTAAATATTTTAACCATGGAGTATAATGGTATGGTTTGATCCTGTTAAAATAGTTACAATGTAAGTATATAGGAAAGAACAGATTTTGCAATTAACATTATGAAGCAATCAGTATTTCTGTCTGCATGGAATATTTTTCCTACGTGTTAATTTCTTGGGATAACCTGAGTCAGGGTCCTCAGTGGGCAGTGTCAGCTCTTTCCCTGTGAGTTTCCATGGGAAGGCCTCCTGGTTGCCAGCTACCAGCTCCACCTGGGGGATCTGGAGACACCTGTCACCGAATTCTCCCAGGGGGCCTGAGACACTGGTCACCTAGCTCTACTGAGATACTGGTCGTCTAGCTCTCCTGGGGCCCTGGTCACCTAGCTCTCCTGGGACCCTGGTCACCTAGCTCTCCTGAGACACTGGTCACCTAGCTCTCCTGAGACACTGGTCACCTAGCTCTCCTGAGACACTGGCCACCTAGCTCTCCTGGGACCCTGGTCACCTAGCTCTCCTGGGACCCTGATCACCTAGCTCTCCTGAGACACTGGTCACCTAGCTCTCCTGGGACCCTGGTCACCTAGCTCTCCTG